GCATTCCAATCTGGGCAACAGAGTGAGAATACAACTCAAAATAAAAAAAAAAAAATGCAGATAATGATGTTGGCCATACTCTGCTGCTTAAAACCTTTCGATGGCCTCTATGTCTCAGGAGAGGGTCCAAGCATCTTAACAGGCATGTACGACCATTCATGTCTGTGCTCCCATCTTGTTCCTTAACTACCTTAGCATGTGCTTCCCATTGCCATCAAAATCTTTTTAAAAAATATTTTATAACTTTTACTTTAAACTTGGGGTACTTGTACAGGATTGTTCCATAGGTAAACTCATGAACTAATTTACACTCCCACCAGAAGTGTATAAGTGTTCCCTTTTCTCCACAACCTCTTCAGCATCTGTTATTTTTTTACTTTATAACAATAGCCATTCTGACTGGTATGAGATGATATCTCATTGTAGTATTGATTTACATTTCTCCAATGATTATGACATTGAGCATTTTTTCATATGCTTGTTGGCCGCATGTATATCTTCTTTTGAATAGTGTCTGTTCATGCCCTATGTCCACTTTTTTAAAGGGTTGTTTGTTTTTTGCTTGTACATTTGTTTAAGATTCTTTTTTTGGAGACAGAGTCTCACTCTATCCCCCTGGCTGGAGTGCAGTGGTGTGATCTCAGCTTACTGCAACCTCTACCTCCCTAGTTCAAGTGATTCTCATGCCTCAGCCTCCTGAGTAGCTAGGCTTACAGGTGCATGCCACCACACCTGGCTAATTTTTGTATTTTTGGTAGAGATGGGGATTTGCCATGTTGGCCAGGCTGGTCTCAAACTCCTGACCTCAGGTGATCCGCCTACCTCAGTCTTCCAAACTGCAGGGATTACAGGCATGAGCCACTGGCCTGGCCTCAAGTTTCTTGTATATTCTGGATATTAGATCTTTGTTAGATGTATAGTTTGCAAATATTTTCTCCAGACATCAAAATCTTTCTTTTGCTTAGGTAGTTTGGCCTGAAATATAGAGGTTCCTATATGTCTGTCTTTTAATGTTGTTCATGATAATTTTAATACTTAATCACATCTTCCCTTTGGACTTTTAAAGTGAATGTCAAAAGCATAGGAGCAGACTGTGATTAATTAATATATTACTTCAAGAAGAAAAAATTAGTGAGAACACACAACTTATATAAAAACATTATCTTTGAAAGACATTGGAAAACATTTTATTTCTTGTTTACCTTGTGTTCTTGTGTAAATATCAAAGAGAGAAAAACCCTAGTGAATTTAATTGCATGTATGTGTGTTTCTCTGGCTATATAATTTTCAAGACCCTATGGAATATGAAAATATAAAGCTTCTTGTTCAAAAATTACTAAAAATTTCAACATGGTAACAGAACAGCATTAATCTAAGTGTGGACTCTTCTGAGTGCAGGGCCCTGGCTGCACGGGTCACATTTCCCATGAATCATTTTATTTTTCTCCCCAACTTAATTGGTTCAGAATTGAGGTTTCTCTAAGGAAAATTCCTTTTTATTTACACTAGAAGTATGTGAATGATTTAAAATTCATGATGTGTTGAGATCTTGCTAAATGGGCCTACCAAATAAGAAGAAAATAAAGCTTGTAAGAATGTGGACTTTGGCTGGGCACGGTGGCTCACACCTGTAATCCCAGAACTTTGAGAGGCTGAGGCAGGTGGATCACCTGAGGTCAGGAGCTCGAGATCAGCCTGCCCAATATGGTGAACCCCATCTCTACTAAAATTATAAAAATTAGCTGCATGTGGTGGTGGGCACCTGTAATCCCAGCTACTTGGGAGGCTGAAGCAGAAGAATGGCTTGAACCCAGGAGACAGATGTTGCAGTGAGCCAAGATTACGCCACTGTGCTCCAGCCTGGGCAACAGAACAAGACTCCATCTCAAAAAATAATAAAAATAAAATAAAATAAAAAAGAATGTGGACTTGGCAGTCAATTCAAAGTCTGACTGCATGGCTGCCTTCAAAGACTCAAGGGTTGGCTTCAGGGACACACAAACACCCTCAAATTGTAATTAAAATTGTGTGTGTGTATTTGTATATGCCTTTTTCAGGGAAGAGCTTTTATCTGATTCTCAAAGGAATCAGTAATCCCAAAAAGCTTAGGGACCACTGTTCTATGACATTATTTATCCTTTTTTAAAAAAAGAAACCTGTGGCAAATCATGATGTGCTTTAATTTTGTTTATTCGTTTATTTATTTTACAGATGGGGTGTCATGTCTCCCAGGCTGAAGGGTAGTGGTGTGATCATAGCTCACTGCAGCCTCGAACTCCTGGGCTAAACCGCTCCTGCCACGTAAGCCTCCCGAGTAGCCAGGACTACAGGTCTGTGCCACTGCACAGGGCTACTTTAAAAAACATTTTTTTTTTTTTTTTTTTGTAGAGACAGGGTCTTGCTTTATTGCCCAGGTTTATCGTCTGCTTTTAAAGGCCTCTGCTGCTGGCTGGTTTAAAAACTTTAAATACAAGGAGTTGTGCAGATTTTTAAAATTATTCTTATTCTAACATATAAAAAGAAAAAACCATGAAAAGAGAAATATAGGAATAAACACATTAAGAAACCCAATCAGAGAAATGAAATCTAAAAGGAATCCTTACACTGTAGCTGCTACCATCAGAAAATTTGAGAGATCATAAAATTGACGTTTCATTGCAGTATACCTTATGTAATCATGTGATTAATAATATTATCATATTTATTAAGCACTTACCGTGTGCCTGGCACTGTCTCAGTAATCATTTACCACTCTTAACTTACTTAATCCTCTTAACAATTCTATAATCCCCACTGTAGAATTGAGGAATCAGAAGCAAATAGAGGTTAAGAATTTCGGCTGGGCACCGTGGCTCACACCTGTAATCTCAACATTTCGGGAGGCCAAGGCTGACAAATTGCTTGAGTTCAGGAGCTCAAGACGAGCCTAGGCAACAAAGTAAGACCACATCTCTACAAAGAAGACAAAAATTAGCTGGATGTGGTGGCACGTGCCTGTGGTCCCAACTACTTGGGAAGCTGAGGTGGGAGGACGGCTTGGGCCTGGGAGGGAGAGGTTGCAGTGAGCCAAGATCACACCACTGTACTCTACCCTGGGTGACAGAAGCAGACCATATCACACACAAAAAAGAATCTTGCCCAAGGACACAGAGTAAATGGTGGAGACAGGTTTTGAATTGGTCACAAAGTTAATATTCTTATAAGCTTTATTTCCTTCTTGATTATTAGTAGGTCCATTTAGAAAGATACATCAGATAGCTTTCACTTAATAGATATCAAGAATAAAGAAGTAGAATAAAGAACTGAGAATTCCTCCTTCCAGACAACGTTTTCCCTTGGCTTCCTGGACACCACTGCTTTGTGGTTCTTCCTACCTTGTACCGGCTGCTCCTTCTTACTGTCTTTCTGTGGGATTCTCCTCTTCTCCTTTTTAGGCCTTGATCCTCTTCTTCCCTCCATCCCTGGACACTCCTTGGGTAAACCAATCCAATCCCATAACTATAAATACTGTCCATATGTTAATGATTTTCAGATTTATATTTCCATCTTGGACCTCTCACTTGAATCCAGATTCTATATTCAGCTACTTTCTCAATGTCTCCATGTGGAGATCTGATATAATTTGAATCTGTGTTCCCACCTAAATTTCATGTTGAAATGTAATCCCCAGCTGGGTGCAGTGGCTCGTGCCTGTAATCCCAGCACTTTGGGAGGCCGAGGCAGGAAGATCACCTGAGGTCTGGAATTCAAGACCAGCCTGGTCAACATGGTGAAATCCCATCTCTACTAAAAATACAAAAATTAGCCAGGCGTGGTGGCACACACCTGTAATCCCAGCTACTTGGGAGGCTACTGAGGTTTCTGAAAAATGAGACACAACTTTTCTGAGGTTTCTGACAAATGAGTACCATCGGTAGTTGAGGATACATATTTGTGTTTTGTGGGGGGTTTCTTGGTGCTGGTGTTTTTTAATGCTGAAATTTTGTAAAATAAAATTCAAACTACATACTAACCTTTTTAATATAAAGTAGTACTTTATCTAAAGCAAGCTTGACCCACAGTTAATTAGCTGGATCATAGCCAGGAAAGTGCTAAAATGTCAAGGAAATGAAAATTGTCTTTCTATGACTCTCAGGAGTATAAGTAAAACCAAGGAATAGCTGAAAAATCTATTTTTTCAAGTATAGTGAGAAAAAAATACAGAAAAACATTCAAGAATCTCCCTAATGCTGAGAATATATGACAGCAAATTAACTTCCTGACTGTAATGAAGAATAATTGGACATACATCTGAATTTTTGTGAGATTTAATGAGACTGGAAACTTGAATGCACTTGAGATTAATTTTTTAAAGATTCTATGTTCTAGTGAAATTTAAACCTACCCTCTCACTTTTCTAGTTATGTTTTTAAGGAGGAAAAAAATAAAAATATCATATAATCACATTTTTAAAAAACTAAGACCCAGATTATAAATCAAAGGGTCACACAAATGTTCTCTGGCCTAATAGTCACGTGCATACAAATGGTAGAGTCTATGGCATGCAAATAGAAGACACAAAGTGCCTTTTGGCAATCTGCCCTTCTGTGAATATTACATTTAAGGGAATAGGCAGAATGCAGACACTAGACCCTGTCATGAATTCACCACACAGGAAGGTCAGACTTACAGTGAAGAGTTTAAATGGGATGAACTAATACCAACTCCACTATGTCATTCCTGTCAAGTGGTCAAAATAAGGCAAGCAGAAATTACACTTCTGGGCTGGGCACAGTAGCTCACACCTGTAATCCCAGCACTTTGAGAGGCCAAGGCAGGCGGATCATCTGAGGTCAGGAGTTCGAGACCAGCCTGGCCAAAATGGTGAAAATCTGTCTCTACTAAGAATATTTAAAAATTGGCCAGGCATGGTGGCACGCACCTGTAGTCCCAGCTACTTGGGAGGCTGAGGCAGGAGAATCACTTGAACCTGGGAGGCGGAGGTTGCAGTGAGCTGAGATCACACCACTGCACTGCAGCTTCGGTGATAAGAGTGAGACTCCATCTCAAAAGAAAGAGAAAAGAAATTACATTTCTGGTTTTACCACTTGGCTGTTGCACATTCCTGAATTAATCCTCTCAATTCTTCTAGAAATTATGGCAAAAAGATGTAAGCCTGCTTTAGAAATACTTATGTATTACAATGTGATAGGGATGAGGAAATTACTTATCTTACTAAATATTACTCCATATTCCATGAGGAAGCATGTCCCAATTTTCATTTTATTTTGCCTATAAAAAAGCAAAACAATGATCAATTCAATATTTTCACGTAGTTATGACCACCTCCTGAGTTTATGGGCATCCACTACAAAAGGAGACCTAGATATCCTCAGATATGTGAGATCTTACAGAACCTTGAGAGTCAAGAGCCCTGTGTTCTCACTTCATTTTGGGCACTAACCAGCTTTGTGACTTTGGATAAGCTTCAAAATTTTTCTGTATTATTTATCTATTGCTGCTTAACAAATTACCCCAAGCATACAGGCTTAAAACAACAAACATATTATCTCACAGTTTCTGTGGGTTAGAAATTCAGGAATAGCGTAACAGGTCCCAGAGGACTCAGGGATTCTCAAGAGGTTGCAATAAAGATGTCAGCTGGAACTGCTGTCATCTGAAGGCTTGACTGGGGTAGGGGGATCTGCTTCTAAGCTCACTCATATGGTTGCTGGCAAGAGGCTTCGGTTCCTTGCCATGTGGGTCTCTCCAAGGTTGTTCATGATATGGCAGCTGGCTTCCTCCAGAGTGATGACCTAAGAGCAAGAGGGCAACTAGACAGGAGTGAACTGTAGCCTTTAAACCTAATCTCAGACATAACATACTTCTGCTGTATTCTACTCTTCACATAAACTGACCCTGGTACACTGCAGGAGGGTACTACACATGGGTATGGAATATCATAAAGTAGGGATCACTGGGGGATATCTTGGAGGCTAGCTACTGCTCTCTGAACCGTCTCTTTATCCATAGAGTGAGATCTTTGAACTACATGATCTTTGAGGTTGGCAAACTCTTCTCTGCCCAGTGCTACCCCCAGACCTTGCTTTTCTACTCTCATGTCAAAATTCCTGCTTCTTTTAGCTTTAAGCCATTTGGCAATACCAACCTCTACCCCACCTTGTTGCTGTTATTTGCAGACTTCTGAGCCATGGGACAATTGTTCTCCTCACTCCAAGTCCTGCCATCACTCTAGGACTTCCATGTCCTCGTGGGTGACCCATCCCAAACCATGAACTTTCAGCTCCTTGACATTCTCATCTCTAATGCCTTTCCCATCCACTCCATTTCAGTACCCATCACCCACATCAATACCCTAAATTTGTCATCACCAAAACTGTTTAACTTCATAAACAACAAATCCAATCATCTCAACTCTCTCACTGTAACTTCCTATTCTTCCAATTCTCTCATCAACTATTCCCAAGAGATAGGTCCCCAGACCTTATTGGAACCTCCAAGAAATTGTCACATCTACTTTCTCCATATCAGCTCCCTCCTGTCTTCATTTCCACTTCATATCAGATTTTAAAGTCCATCCCTTGAGCCACTTTCTGAACAGATTCTTCAATTCCTTTAACTCATAGTCCTTTCTTCACACCTGAAAGGAAAAACCTTAGTTTTGATTGATTTCTAACGACTACCTTTCTATTACCGACAACCAGGTTACTGAAGGTTGCTGGAGAAAATCACATAACAGTATAGATTGGATACATGGTAATCAAATTCCAAAGCCGCCCACTAGTTTCACAGTCAATGTTTCCCTAGATAGCACTCCAGCCTGGGTGACAAAAGCAAGACCCCATCACAAAAAAGGAAAAAAGAAAAAATAAGAAAGAAAAGGAAGGGAAGGGGAGGGGAGGGGAGGGGAGGGAAAGGGAGGGGAGGGAAAGGGAAATCCATATAGCTTTTGACTCCCCCAAAACTAACTACTAATAGCCTACTGTTGACTGAAAGCCTTACCATTAATATAGTCAATTAACACATATTTTTTATGGTATACATTATATATGGTATTATTATAATAAAGTAAGGCAGAGAAAAGAAAATATTATTTAGAAAAGTATGCCAGGCCCAGTGGTTCATGTCTGTAATCCCAGCACTTTGGGAAGCCAAGGCAGGACGATCACTTGACAATAGGAGTTCAAGACCAGCCTGGGCAACAAACCAAAACCCTGTCTCTATTAAAAACATTTTTTTAAAAACCAAGATTGTCATATGGAAAAGAAAACATATTTACTATGTATTAACTATGTATATTTACTATGTATTAAGTGGATGTGGGTCATCATAAAGGTCCTTATTGTCTTTACATTGAGTAGGCTGAGGAAGAGAAGGAGTTGGTCTTGCTATCTCAGGGGTAGCAGAGACAAAAGAAAATCCACATATCTATTTCATCACATCCTTTATTGTAATTGAGTCTCTGTACTGTGGTTATTTGTTAAAACACTCATAATTGAATTGCATCAGCTCTAAACCCACCCTTCTAAATTCTGCTTTGTGGTCTGAGTCTGGGATTCTGCGAACTATTCCTTTCTTTCTGGGTAGTTCTCTGGTTCTGCCCATAGTGGGTGCTAGAGGGAGAATAGCATGCAGAGCCAGGACTGCCTCTCCTGCTCTGTACTGTTCCCATCATTGTCTCCTGAGCAACAACACTTTCTTCTGTGCAGTGTTGGCTTAAGTCTCTCACTTTTTTTGTCACTTCCAAAATTAGCCTTCAGGTACCCGCTCTGAGGTACCAGTACCAGCATGGCAGGGCCTCTTCCTCAGGGATCTAAGCCCCAGCTCTGCGGGACCCTCCTCCAAGCCTCTAGTTTTTAAAAATCACAAACTTCTCTTCTTCCTTTTGTTCCCCTGGAAGTTTATGATCTCTGGACCTCAATGTCTGCCTGTTGCTTTTTTGAAGCAAAAGCCCAATGGAACACTTTTTTTTTTCTTTTCTTTTCTTTTTTTTTTTTTTTGAGACAGGGTCTTACTCTGTCACACAGGCTGGAGTGCAGTGGCACTGCAACCTCTGCCTCCTGGACTCAGGTGATCCTCCCACCTCAGCCTCCTGAGTAGCTGGAACCACAGGTATAAGCCACCACATCCAGCTATTGTCAGGGTCCAACCCAAAGACTCTAATCCAGTGACAGATTAATAAATTCACTTAAACACAAATCTCCAGTAAAAGAGTGGGCCAGGGGTCCATGGTCACTCAGAGACACTGCTGAGAAAGATAGCAGCCATCGGCCCCCAAACAGCTGGCACTCCAGGCATTTATTCAGTATAGATTTAATAACAGAGGCTCTGAGTCAACACACTTGTGGATAATGATTAAAGGCCAGGTTCCAAGGCCTAAAGCAAACACCATTTGTAGGTGATATATCTGATCACCCTCTCCCCAAGACAGCCATTCAGCCCATGAAAGATTAAAGGTTAGTTTTAGGATCACATGAGTAAACAAGCTATTCAGATAAACTCCCCCAAATTCCCTAGTTATTTGCTTTTCTATATTAACTAAAGTTAAAGGGAATAGGCTGCTTTCAGCCAAAACCTCTATTGAAACTATGCAAACCTCTTAGCCTTCCAAGAAGGTTTGTGACTATATTCTGTAATTTTACAATCTTCCCAACCATCCTGACCAACTCCCACAAGCGATTTTTTTGTTGTTGTAAAATAAAAATACATTTTGCCATGTTGGCCAGGCTGGTCTAGAACTCCTAAGCTCAAGTGATTTGCCTGCCTTGGGCTCCCAAAGTGCTGAGATTACAGGCATGAGCCATTACACTCAGCCTATAACACATTTCTTATGTTAAATTCTCTCTGCTGAAACGACTAGTGTAGTTCCTGTTTTCCGAGTACACCCTAACCAACACGGTACTTGGTGACAAGAGTATTCCCAGGAAATAAACTCTCAAAAATGGGATTTAGGATTGTCTGGTTATATCTTCAACTTTGAAAGCAGTGCTGAACTCTTTGGTAACTGGAAATCAGTCTAGTGGTCTGTATATATGCAGGGCATATGATGAACTAAAGTATCACCTGTCATTGTTTGTGTGAAGTGTCTACTGAAACAAGTAGCTTGAAAGACCAAGTGGCTAAGGCACTTGACAGCTATGGTAATAATAAAGACTGTAAGAATTGTGGGGTGGATTATCTGCTTCTGACTACATTAAAATGAATATAGAAAAAACCCCACAAAATCGGGGTTAGTGGATTTTTTTTTTTTAATGGAGTCTTGCAATGTTGTCCAGGCTGGCACCAAACTCCTGGGCTCAAGCAATTCTTCCACCTCAGCCTCCTGAGTAGCTGGGATTACAGGTGTACATCACTGTACACAGCTTAAAACCAGGGTTTTAAAGGTTCATCTCAGGCCAGGCATGGTGGTTTACACCTGTAATCCCAGCACTTTGGGAGGCCAAGGCAGGTAGATTACTTGAGGTCAGGAGTTTGAGACCAGACTGGCCAACATGGCGAAACTCTGTTTCTACTAAAAATACAAAAATTATCCGGGTGTGATGGCAGGCACCTATAATTCCAGCTACTTGGGAAGCTGAGGCAAGAGAATTGCTTGAACCTGGGAGGCAGAGGTTGCAGCGAGCCAAGATCAGGCCACTACACTCCAGCCTGGGTGACCGAATGAGGCTCCGTACCAAAAAAAAAAAAAAAAAAAAGATTCATCTCAAATGACAAAGAACTAGAGAGGATCCATGGTGGCTCTAAGATAATCTACTATTTTTATTATAGCTATAGAGTCAAACTTACAGAAAAACAGACCCAAAATTTAGTCATCTGGGTTGCAAAATGATAACATCAGTTGAATTTGCAGACTTGTCATAAGACATAGTGTCTTATGTTATACTTATGACACTGAGAGGGAGTAAACCAGATATTTGGAATAGGGGCCTCTAGGTGTAACTGAACAAAGTTGAAAATTTTAAACTCCCAAGTCTCTCCAAGCCTTTCTTGCAAGAAGAAGCAGTCTACCCTCCTGTGTGTCAGAGAAGACAAGATTTGCTTAAAGATCCTCTATAGTTTATGGACATTGCCTTGCAAAGAGATGCCTATCCTGCTGGAGACCCTCCCTGACCTCCCCTGAATGACTCTAGACTCTTAACTAGAGTCAAATATCAGTATCCTCTGAGGAGATGAATGTTAAGTTTAACCCAGGAAGACATAGGTCACATGCTGAATATCCAGATTTTTCTAATATGTAGAGAGATTGGGAAGTATGTAGAGAAAACCTGGGA